GAGCACCCCTGGAATTTCGGACTCGTCAGTTTTGATTTCAGATTCACTTCTGAATCCTGTTGTGTCTTCGGAATTTTCCATCCTCTTCCTTCGACCTGCTCCGGGACTTGTGTCCTTGTCCCGCGCGCTCTCCGGTCGACCTCCGGATTCAGTTAACCACGTTCCGGCGTTGACTGACATCCTCCGCTCCCTTCCGGTCGCATTTGTTCTATGTGATCACTCCGAAAATTTCGGACCACTCAGTTCGAGTTCGGTTCAATTTGAACAAACTCCATCACAGTTCTAGGTTGCGTTATCGCTTTGCACCGGCCATATCCGGTATCTGGTGACTACAGCTTGTGATGATTACTCCACTTTGCTTCCAAACTCCTCAATTGCCTCCGTCAATCCTTCGGCAATACTGTTTCAAGTGTTCAAAATTTTTCACCCTCCCCCTTCGACCTCTTCCGGATCATGTTCCATGTCCGGAAAGCTCTCCGGGCTCACTTCCTTGTTCGGAGGCCACTCCGGTTCTTGTATCCTTCACCGGAGTGTCTTAGGTCGATCTCCGAGTTCATTCAGCACCACCTGCTGCTGTTTGCTTCCCTCCGCTCCCCTCCGGTCGCAACTGCTCACCGCGATCACTTTCCAAAAATTCTGGAACCCTCAACGTGACTTCTGAACATCAGCTCATGTTCTAGATGTCCTTCGGACTCCTTTTGCCGTCGATACCCTCCGGTAATTCTGTCCTCATGGTCTCGGAGTTCTCGCCCCTCCATTGGTCTTTTATTTTTGCTCCCGGATTTTATCCGCCCCTGTTCTTTTCCTTTCCGGTGCGTTTCCGGTCACCCATCTGGTCCTCCGGCATCGCTCGGACACTCCGCTTCCTTCCTTCTCCATCTGACTTTTTATGCAACACTACTTCCCCGATGGCTTTCACCCCTCTGTATCTTTTTGGAGCTCTTACAAAACCCTTCCTGCGGGTTTTCTTCCATGTGGATTTGCTTGCATTCCTCTTCCTCCAACTTTCCCACACTCTCCGGTTCTCCAAACACTCCGAGTTTTCGGTTGACTCCGGACACCTCTGGATCAAGCAACCGCATGCCTCAGTGCCACCTTGGCCTGCCCACCAACATTCTATCCATCCCTGAGTGGTCTCCTTGACGCCACAGTTGGTGACCATGGAGATTTCTCACCTCCGGCCTTGATGGCTGGTCTCCGTGGTGACAGCTCTTTATTGCGCTGTCATGTCCTCCCCGGAGACAATCCTTGTTCTCCGCTGGATGCTCCGGTCGTTCCATCGACACTCCTGCCCCGTCGGAATTCATGCTTCTTGCCTCCGGTCATTCAAAATGCCTTTGGCCCAACTCCGGTTGATCCGGACATCTTGGTTTAAATTATTTTCAACTTCGACACTTCTCCGGCGGTCTTCGATCCTCTGTACCTCTTTGGAGCCTTTCAACAAAAACTCTTCTCAGCGAGTTTTCTTCCATGTGGTCTTGCACTCCCATCCTTCGCCTCTGTCCCTCCAGTCCCTCCAAACCACTCCCCTCCTTTGTCCGGTTCCTTCCGGGGTTCCGGACTCCCCTCAGTACTCCGGTGCTGACCGGAAAGCATTCCGGCACTCCGGACTACTCGCTTGACCATGTGCCATCAGTGCCAGTCCTTTGACACTGCCCGTTGACGTAACCATGTCTTTGAGTGGATTGGTCTTCTATCTTTGAACACCAGAGTCAACGCAACCATAGTTGATTCACCTTTTCATCCTTGATGGATGACCTCTATGGTTCAAGACCTTCTTTATTGAAGGCACTGTGATCCCTGAAGTGGATTACGGTCCCCTCTGGCTTCAACCTGTCGCTCCGGAATTCCGGAGACTTCTGGTCTTGCCGATCCATCCCCGGACCCTGACCGGTCCCTCCGGCAACTGCGTCCGGTCAGGAATCAAACTCTCCGGGTTTCCTCAGTCCCTTCGGCACCTCTCCGGGTTCGTTTGGACTTCCCTTTTCAAATTCCACCCCCATCCTTTCCATCTACAATCCTTCTGGAATTCACCTCCACCTTCCATCCCTACTTCAACATCATCCAACTTGCCTTGCAGTAATGCAGGTATCCCTTCAACTCGACTTTTAACTTTCCGGTTATCACTCCGGATTTTCACGCCCTCCGGCGCATTACAATTCATCTCCGGTATCTTTCCGGCCTTTTTCTTGTGCACTCCCTTCTGTTTCCCCTCCATCCGTCGAGCCTTCTTGGCTTCCGGTCGTTGCACCAAACTCCGGACTCCTTCTACGGCTTCCCACACCCACGGATCCCTCTACTCACCCTGTCGTTCAGTCCCTTGAGGGCAAGGAACGTAAAGGGGGGATACTGTTATATCCATGCAATCCAGTCTTTCATTTTTTCCCATTATCGGTTCCGGTCGCACTGAAACTGACTCCGATTGTGCTCCCGTCACCTCCGGACACATTGTTACACACTCTATCATACCCGGCACCATTCCGGTAATACTCCGGTATCACTCCGGCTTACTTCCGTCGATCATGGTCCACCAGTTCCCAGACCTATCCCGGAATACATAGCTCTCATCCAACGATGGATTGCCGAGTACTTTCCTATTTATCATTCACTTCACCTTCACCACTCCATCTTGTCTTGGCCACCTCCGGCCTCACTCCTCACCTCGTTCACCCTCCGGTCATTCTGGTTCACCGTGGCTCAGCCACATGGCACCGCCGCACTCCATGGTACATTCCAGACTACAATTACATCATCACTCCGAACTCCGGTCCTCCACGTCCCTTGGCTGAGCTCCGCTTCACCCGCGTCGCCTCGGACCATGCTCCTATGCATACGCACGTCTCCGGAAGTCCTGTCAGCTATCTCCGGAATGACTGCGTGCTTCTATGTCCGCTCCGGCGACCCGGAGCTCCCAAATCCACTCGTACCTCGGACCTCGTCCATATCGACTACCCACGTACCGGTCAAACCTCCGGTGCACTTATACCTCATTCGCCTATGCTCCTACACTCCCGCTCACGCTCCGGTCGCTTCGGACATCTCTCCGGAATTCGGAGTCACCGGAGACATCGGACTCTTGTCTGGATCATGCGGTATCATGCCTATTCACTCCTTATCCATTTATCCGTTCCTTATCACTTCTCTTCTATTGTTTCAACATCCACATCACTTCTCCTTATTGTCTTCTCACATGCTGCGCCTTCTCATCACACTTCCATCATTCCACATCGCTTCTTCATCTGCCTCAAGGCAGGTATCTTCACATTATCATCTTATCATTCTTCTATCCATCTATCTATCTATCTAACCATATGCTTTGCCTTTCTTCTTTATTCACTTGCTATTGTTCTTCATACTCACTTGACCTATTCTGCCGCAAGGTAGTCTCTTCTTCCATATGGCATACTCTGCCTCATGTTACTTATCATTGCCTCATGTTACTTATTTCCTTCTGTACTAATTACCTGACTCTAGTATTTATACCGGTACTTTACTTCCTGTAAACCATCCGGAAAATTAACGTTGTTTCCATGTTTCCTCTTCATGGACTGTTGCCAACTGTCTCCATCGTCTCCTGAGGCTCCTGTTCATTGCCTCTTGACGTCTCCCACGTAATGGCCTTGCTCCCGTCTCCCTCTGGTTCTCTCCGGGACTCCGGTCACCTCCGGTCTCCGGTCGCGTCTCCGGAACCTTCGGTCACGTCCCCGGAGTTCTCGCTCGGCCATACCAACAACTGCGGTACGACTCCGGGTTGTCTCCTGCTTCTTGGATATGCCTCTGGTCCGCTCCGGCTCGCTCCTTCTTACTGATCGCTCCGGTCCGTACCGGACCTACGCCGGACGACTAACCAACTATACCGGCAACTGCCCTTGCATCTCCGGTCCAGGCTATCCGTGTCTCTTCACCATCTTTGAGCTAGTACTGCTCGGACCTTGGTATCGGACACATTCCCATCTCGCAGCCCGAGGCCAGTCAATCGGTCACCCTTGCTGAGTTGTGGTGTTCCGAGAAGGGCTGATCTAGACATCTGTTCATCTCCGAGTATTGGCTTGGTCCGGCTCTGGTCATATGATCGGATATTCCTCATACTCCTTCCCTCTTGGCTCAGCGACATAACAACGTCCAAGTAAAACCTCGCGCAATAATACTCCAAAAAACCTAAACTTCCGACTAGAAAAATTACATTGAGCAGATGCGGAAACACAAGGGAAACAACGTGTTTATGGTTACGCGGGACACGTGCGGCCTCTTGCTGAACTGGACCAAGAGGCCAAGGAGGAGGGGCAGGAGTATGCGAACCTCACTGAGGAGGAGGAGGTGCGTTTCCCCCTTTCTTTCCTTTCCGCACTTCTTCCTGACGACATCAAGACGTTCGGACTCGGAAGATCGCCCCCTGGGCCGCTCAGCGCAACGAGCCTCTCGGGACTCTTCAACCGCTCGACCGCGCTCATCACCGGCCCTGCGTCCGCGCTCGACCCGCGCGCGCAGCACCAGACCAGCTCAAGGATCCGTACCAGCGTCCCTGCGGCTGTCGCGCAGCTCGTCCTGTTGGGTTCGGTCGGACGGGCGGAAGCGAGGCGGTTGTTGAGTGAGACAGAGTTCGGATGATGAGGATTAGGAGGAGGATGATCAGGATGGGACGAGTGAGTTGGACCATTCTTTACCTCGAGCATTTTGGTTGATGAGCCATGATAGCTCTGGAGCCGGGCGCGGCGCTGCAGCTCACGACGAGGCTGTCGAATCGGTTGTGGTTCGGGGAAGATAATTTGGAAAAATTCTACCTTGGCAAAGCAGGGGCAGAGGTAGGGTAAAATTCACAAATGTTTCATTTGTAATGGTTTGGGTTTTCCGTCGTTGGAAACTCGGTGTAGAGACACATTCCACTGAACACGCAGCCCCGCTTTCTTGAGCAAAGTAAGCATCAATTCGGGCGACTAACCGCCAAAGTCCCAATTAGGAAATTTTCTTGGTTTGGCTTTTCAACTCTCAATTCCCACCACGGCTGCATGGTGTAATGGTTAGCACTTCAGATTCTGAAAACTAGATGTCTTCTGGTAACCCCGGTTCGATTCCGGGTGCGGCCTTCATTTTTGGTCCCTTCGCCTCCCTTTTACTCGTGAGGCAAGTCCACCGCATCCGCCGTTTGACGCTCGACACCGCAGCACCCTCATTCGTGACCACTGCTGCGTTTTTGCATTTTTCGGTCTCAAATGTTTGCTTGCGAAGCTTGTGGCTGTGTGTGCTCGTTGCCTCCCACACACACCCATAGACCCTCCCAACCCTTGCTCGAAACGTTGCAACCCCGATTCTCTGTGGAAGATCAACAATGTCCCCGTTCCACCACCACACTCTTCCTCCTGAACTCTGGCTGGAAATATTCGCGCATCTAGATGAGCGCTCCTACACAGGAATATACACGCCATTCCAGCCTCCTGCCGGAGATGGGGACGTGAGGAGCGTGTATGCTGCTGTCGTTTTGGTCTGTCGGAATTGGCACGCCTGGGCGATAAGCTTTCTGTATCGCAACGTCAAATTCGTGGACACTGTTTGGGTGCGCGAGCACCCAGAATATGGCCAATGGGTTCGTCTTCGAACCTCTTGAATCCAATCCATTTATCAGTCTCGTCAGGTTCGGCGGGTGGTCATACCTAACTCGCCGGCTACAGAGACGATTGGGCATGTCTCGGCAACGGAGATGTTGTGTATCTGCCCGAACGTAACTGTCCTCGTTCGGCGCCGTGGGCAGCGCGTGAAATTGGACGCGGCGTGTCCTCTACCGTCTTTGAAGCGATTAGAGTGGTTGAACTATGGCAGAGTCGAAGCAGACGACATAAACGCGCTTCAAGTTGTATGCGCTGCACCGAATCTGCAGTATCTCGTCCTAAGCTCTAGCCTATCATGGCATACTCCGAAACAAATGACTCTCCACAGTCTGCGCACCCTGCACCTAGGTATCGTCAGCTTCGACCTCCTCCGATGGGTTTCCCAGTGGTCCCTCCCCGCGCTGAATACCTTGATCATGGATGTACCCCTGAACAGGAGCCTGATGTGGCCCACGCATGGACCATCCCTCGAAACCCTCGAACTTGGGAAACGACACGGTTTCCTGCATGCTCGGTACCTCACGTACTACCTTCAAGGCTGCCCAGCTCTCCGCCAGCTCAACTACTATCTTTTCACCACAAATCTGCCTACCGCGGACGCGGGGACCTATGCATCGGTCACATCCGTCCGTATACATATGGCCCCAGATTCAGAATTATCGCAGGAAGAGTCTCGGTGGGGACACCTGGAGGACCATATTCTCACTTTGGCCGGGGGGTTGTTTCCCAATCTTCTGCAGCTCACGTTTTACGAGAGTTCGGAGCAGATGCTCTCAGATGAGCGGTTCGCCGTGATGCTGAAACCGCTCACTGACCGTGGATGTGCTCTCCAGATTGTGGCAGCATAGGGCGTACATAAATATTAGTGCAGGACTAAATTCAATTTACCTTGAACGTATGCTTTTCGTAGTCCTTACTCACATCCATTTTATGGCCGCAATTCCAAGATTCCAAGAAGAGGTTGATCATCATTTCGCCCATACTGAGATGCCGAACGCCGGAATTCTTCGCACGGACCACCATGTCCTCCTCCAAATGGCCCGGTCTGCCCACTGGCGTCGAATCGCGTACGCTGAAAATCAATGACCTTGAAATGCACATCTTGGAGGCTCTCCCCACCCACTTGGCTGGCGACTCAAAGCTTATAGTCCTGCTACACGGTTTCCCCGAGCTGGCATAGTGAGTATACCTCGGGCACGCCGCCTCGCCTTATTCACCGCAGTGATTCAAGTTCCTGGCGCAAGGTGCTGCGCCCCTTGGCAGACGCAGGGTATCACGTCGTCGCGCCCGATCAACGAGGCTACGGGCGCACGAAGAGCTCGGCGCAGGGGGCAGAGTCCCCGATCGAATACACCGACGACACGACCCCGTTCCGTATGACGAACCTGGTGAAAGACGTCGTGGCCCTCGTGTATACCCTGGGCTACCAGTCTGCCGCTGCGGTGGGGCACGACTTTGGCTCCCCCGTCGCGGCGTACTGCGCCCTCATCCGCCCCGACATCTTCGCCTCCGTCGTGATGATGAGCTCGCCGTTCACGGGCCCGCCCAAGCTCGCGTCGGCCAACGGCGCGGCGGGTCCGGATTTCGCAAAGATCGCACGGGCGCTGGCGGCGCTGGACCCCCCGCGGAAGCACTACGTGATGTACTACTCCACCCCCGACGCGAACGCGCACATGACGAGCCCGCCCCGCGGGCTGCGCGCCTTCCTGCGTGAATACTACCACGTCAAGAGCGCGGACTGGGCGCCAAACGACCCGCACCCGCTCGCCGCGCCCGAGGCTGCCGTCATGGCGGAGCTGCCGCACTACTACGTGATGGGCCTGCACGAGACGATGCCCGAGGCCGTGCACGGGTTCGAGCCCTCCGCGGCGGAGATCGCGGCCAACGCGTGGCTGACGGAGGAGGAGCTGGGGGTGTATGTGGCGGAGTACGGTCGGACGGGGTTCCAGGGCGGGCTGAACGCGTACCGCATCATGACGAACGTCGAGTGGCAGGCGGACCGCGAGCTCTTTGCGGGCAAGCAGATCGAGGTGCCGGCGATGTTCTTGGGCGGGAAGCAGGATTGGGGAACGTACCAGTACCCCGGCGCGGTGGACGCGATGCGTGGAGTGGCGTGCGCGAAGATGGACGACGAGGACTTTGTGCTCATTGGCGGTGCGGGGCATTGGGTGCCGCAGGAGCAGAGTGGCGACGTCGTTAAGGAATTGCTGCGTTTCTTCAAAAAGTGTGCAAAATAGTACTTGGTATCAAGAAATCTGTACAGTATCAGTATTACACCCATTGTAGATTATCAGTCTTCTACGGAAAAAAATTACGACCGCGTCGGATGGGCGAAAATCACGACCGCGTCGGATGAGTGATGATCACCTTGACTCTTTGTCCGAGCCAGCCCAATGGATGCGACTTGTCGTCTTCAGCGCGGATCTCGACGGTGCCATGACATTCGCTCTTCGTTAAAGCTTTATTCTTCGACCCAAAGTATGCGGAGATATCGCTCCCGCTGGGTTTGCTCGAGCACTTGCATGTGTAGATTCGCGTGTGTGGCTGGGTAGTCGACATCAGCTTTTTGTCGTGGCTGGGGGCATTATGAACAAGGATTTAGTGTAAAGCAGCGGGTGGCACGCACTCGAGCAGCAGGTTCGTGTTGTCCTTGAGATCGCGCGCGACTAATTTCGTGCGTTCTTTATTGTTGATTTCAGGCTGCGCGATGATGGCGTAGGTGCCGTGGAAGTTGAACGGAGTGCTGCTATCCGCGTAGCGCCGTCGAATGTATTTGTAGAGCTCCGCGGCAACGACGAATTTCTGAAATATGGGATCGGAGTCGGTGGAGGATGACTTTGCGACGAATTAGACTTTTGAAAGACCGAGAGACGGGCGGCGACATACTTTCGACGCGACATCGGTCTTGGTGTACGGATCCATCGTCTTGAATCGCTTTCGAATGCGCTCCAGTGTGTCTGCCGCACTCTCCACGGGCGGCGCCTTCCTCTTCTTCCCTGCACTGATGCTCTCTTTCGGGGGTGGCGTAGAGAGGTTGGCCTTGATATTCGCCACATTGGCGTTTGCCAGCAGCATGCGGACTCTCTCGCGCTTTCTCTCTTGCGATTTGCGACTTTGCTCTGCGCGCTTCTCGCGGCAGCGGGGGCAAGTGACATAGCCTGGGGTGGGCGGCGCGGTCCTACACACTGTACACAGTTTGGAAGGAGCTGCGGCAACGGCGACAGATACTGCAATGTCGAGGTCCATGGTGGTAAGAGACAAGAGGTGAATAAACAAAAGGACGCGGTACGCGATCACGTGGACCTGTCACGTTCTTTGCACAGTGATTCGAGCAAGATTCGAGGAATCCATTCCCGCTTATACGTTGGCAATGACTAGTTATATTAACTCAAGAGCCGTGGTCGCCTCGCATCTTCTTTTCCGCCTAACTGCCCTTGCCACTCCCTTTCCTCGTCTCCTTCAACTTCTTGCCACCGGCGCGGTCTCACCAATCGTTCCTCCTATCGGCCGAGGTCGCCACCAGGGACCGGGGCCTGCGACATTTCCAGACATTGACAAACGGTCCACCTTGCGTCAGCGGCAAGTTCATTACTCAACGTTCCTTTCTGGTCAACATTGCCATCATCATAATCAACTTATTCGCTGTATGTGGGCCGCTCACGGCTAAGACAGCAGTACGCTAAGTGGTAAGTGTGTATCTAAAGGGGGGAGGTCGCTATTCTATTTTATAACTAAGAGAAATTGAGCTTTTCCCAGGGTTCAATTTCCTTCAAGTTGAACAAACAACGGTCCACGGGCCTGTGCGGTGGGAACTGACACTTTCCAATATGGAAGGCTTAAAGTTACCCGCTAGAATCCCCGACTCACCGACAGCGATTACCGGAAGGACCTTGAACAAGGGACGTACGAGCTTCACGTGGAACTATAGATCATAGCCGCCAAAGATATTACATGAGTCGGTCAAGAAACTAAAGCTTCAAAGACTATTATTTTCCAACACAAGGAGAGGTTCCCCGTCATTTCAGACCCAAACGCTATGGCATCTGTGCAAATAATGCGAGTCGAACCGAGTTGAACCGCCAAACAATATATTTGTCGTCCTTTTAATTCTCTACTTGAGTCTGCGACTAATCACAAAAACACCATGCTGCCGCTCCGGCGAATATTTTCCCAATCCTTCACGCCTCTGATCTGATTCATCCATATGGCATCCGCATCCTCCATTAAATCCGCGCCGGCTCCCCGCATCGGAATACTCTTTGCCGACACCACATATCCCAAACTCAACAACACGCGGACCTTCTCTGCAGATGTGGATGCCCCCGAAAAATCGAGGTCCCCTAGACACGCCGACCGCCAATTTGAATGGAACGTGTACTCGCCGCGCGCCGAGCAGGGAAGAGGCGTCTTCAGCGGATTCGCGCACCGCCATTGCATATCTGCCTTAATTCCAGGCAGGTCGGCGTTATACGCGAGAATGG